TGGGATGTTAACGTTTTCTGGATTATTTAGGAAAGATTTGATAATGGAAGTGGAATTTGATCTTGCCCTAGAAAGTTACTATAATTCAGTTCAAAGGCAAAAGTGATTAGTCAGTTTAGACCAATGCAATGGCACGAGCAAAATTACAAACCTATGCTGTGAGGGGACGTAGACTGGAGGTAAGGAGACAACCCAATTCCAATTGTATTCAATTTTGAAATGAGTATGGAAATGGCAGGATGAGAGCAAGATATTCTTGAGATCCCATTGTTATTTCTGTAGAATTGAAAGATCTTTGTTGCTAAGCAGCTAAATCTAGAATTTAGTCACCTAAGAGACAAAAGATGAGGGCTTATGTTTCCCTTTGCTCTGTGGTCTCAGCTACAAACCTTCATTCATTGATAAAGGGTGGTACAAACCATCTAGACAGAAAGGGCCAGGGACACTACTGTTTCTTCTGGTGGTGAGTCATTTATCAAGTTTGGTTCTATGTGTAATTTTGTATCTGGGATAGCCCATTGGTTAATGTGAAGTCTCTTAATTTTTGTTTTGTTTTCCTTTTTAAAGATATGAGTGACTTGAGCATGGGTATAGGTAGGGTAACCAACCATTCCAGTTTGTTTGGGCCTCGGGATTGCTGGGTGCAGGACTTTCAGTTTTAAAATGAGGACAGTCCTGGGAAAATCAGATGAGACAGTTACTCCAATTGTAAGTAAGGAATAGGTAAAGTAATAGAAGATGAAGATACAGTTGAGTGTGGGGAAAATTGATAGAAACAGTCCTCAGGTGGGAGAGACTCTCTAATGGGTCAGATATTAGTGACAGACAGGAAAACAGTGCATTAGGGCATTGGAGTAAGAGGGAAGATGGGTAAAGAGGGGTCTTGAATTTGAAATAGCTGTAGGAAAAGGAAGAAAGGGTTTATCAAACATGCAGAAGAGGGCTGTTGTCTCATTCGAGAGTCCACTAACATTGGAGAACATGGATTTCTAGTGGTACCACTTCACATATCCGTGGGAGAATGATGGTACTTCAGGAGCTTTGGTCTCTGGAAGTCCTAGAATGAAGACAACGAGTCTGGCTTAAAGATTTTTCTTGAAGTTATTCTCCTGTTATCAGCTCATGCCGAGCTCCAAGAAAAAGAATAATATGATGCAGGTTTGTGTGGCTTATCAGTCCTTTCCACGACATTGTATCATTTATTAGTTCTTCCCATTTTCAAACCTCCCATCACAACTCTCACTCCATAATAAGTAGAAAACATATCAAGAGAGATACAGAGAGTAAATCTAGCAGTTAGGATTTCACCCCAATTCAGAGATCTTTGTTCCTGGAAGTTTTGTCTATCAACTTTGCTTCTCTCTTCCATGCTTCTTGCACCTTGTGGAATAAGGTGCCTAACTTGCACCAATGAAAACTGCTCAAATCAATCCAACCTCTTTAGGCAAGTTAATTGCAAGGATAATGTTCAGACTGAAACAGTTTTCCCCATCTACCAGCATCCACATAGCCAATCTAGGACAAGAAAAGAAAAACCTTAAATACTTTACACTAGAAAGGAAAGGTACTTGGATAACTAAATACTGTGACTGAAAGACAATGAGAATGGATTTTCAGCTAATGGCACTATACATAAATGAGGAAACTCAGAACACTGAGGAGGTGTGAATGCACTATCCAGGGGAATAAAGAAAAGAACAACATAACATAGGAAGTTTTGAAGTATCTGCTGAATTTTATATCTCCATTGCTTATGCTGAGGATCCAGGACAAGTTATTTCAGTTCTGATTTGTATATTCTCTTTTTAAGCCTTTCACAAACACATTGGTTTGGGGATTTTTTTTTTTCAGAGTAGCATTGGTAGCTTTGATGTAGGAAAGGAGAAAGTATGTGAAGAATTAATGCAGCTCCTGCCCATCCCTCCCTGCCCTCCCCCTGCCCCCAGCCATTTGTGTCATTTATGACTTTAGAGAGTTAAAGATTTGGCATACACTGCTTGAAGGGATGAAATTGGTAGCAGAGCTCGAATGGATTGGAGACAAGAACATTAAGAGAAATGGGAGATGATGAAAGACAAACGTGTTTGGATTCTCTTTGAGTTTGAGAAATAGGTATAGCAGGAGAAAGGGAGAGCTGGAAAAACTAAAATTATTGGTAGATTGATTAGGATATATAAAATTTTTTGTGTATTGACAAGGTATAGATTATGACTATGAGTGGGTAGGCTGAATTATACTGAAGATGATTTGAAGAGGTTAAAGAAAAACTTTTAAAAACCCTGGCTTGTTTTCACATGGGTTGTCTGAATACTTGCTAATATTACTTTAAGATGAGGGTACCATTTTTGGTGGAGAATAATTTTATTAGTGAGGGGCCAAAGCTTTTGAATTTTGTCCAAGAGCACTAAGGGTGGTTGAAGAGACATGTAGTGAGATACATGGTTTGGTGTTGATGCTGTGGGCTGTGGAGAACAGGAACTCTGGACCTTGGGGTATAGGTGACTTCTGAGGATGGGATTTCTCAGGAGGAAGCCTTTTTAGGCAAGTGGTAAATTCTGTTGAAGCTCAGGTTTAACAGGGTAAGTAGATGTAGGGAGCTTTCTGTGAAGAAGTTCAGGATGGAGTTTGGTTCTCTCTCCGTCTCCTTTTGTCATTAAAGGAAGACTCCGGAAAGCACGAGGGAAAGTTTACGAAGGGAATGTAAGGGAACTTGAATCAGAGCGAAGAAAGCATTGATTAGAAATGGATTTAAAATCCAGGAGATTATTGGTGTTGCATCAGGCATGTTCATTTTTATATCTTCTATGTAAGTCTCCTTAGATTAGCTTAAGTTAAATGCTCTTCCTTTTTATTCTTATAAGAAACAGCCCCTGCCTTCATCAATATGTTGATCACAGTCAGAGGTGAATTTAAGTTTCTGGGCCTAATACACCTACAAGATCAGGGGCCCACTTTAAGAAAAATAATACCAAGTTACAACTGCAGAAAATAAGTATGAAAACTTATTTATTTTTATATTTTATTTATTTAGCATAAGAAAGAAGCCACAACAAATTATAAATATTAAAAGGTTGAAAACACCATAAACATCACAAAATTTAATCCCCTCATATTTATATTAATCAGCTTCCTGACTCACTTCTGCAATACCCTTTCCCTACAGTTTTTAAGTTGCTTCTTATTTAATTGCCTCCCTTAAGAGAATTATCTTGTTATAATTTCTGTGGCAAGAACTGAAAGACATTTGCCTTTCTCTAGCATGTTTAATAAAAATTTACTTTGTATTATTAATAGTTTGGAAAAGAATATTCAGCTTCATAGCTTGTTATTGGTAAGGAGATAATTAATTTTACTACTGTGAAATTTTAGAAAACCTTTATTAAGCCTTTTATGTATAGGTTATAATATTTCAGGGCATTTCAGATTTTCCTTATATAGTGACTAATCTTGATTACTCTTAATTTAATGACTTCCATAAAATCCATTGTTGAACCCCTTATGGGGTCTTTATGGAGGTCTGTAAAATGAGGATCCCTGAAGCATAAACTTCGTTATCTTTAGATTAAAATGGTTTTGATCATATTATAATTATCTGTTTGTTTGTTTCTATACAGGCTCAGGGATTATCAACCTCATTGTTGACAGTCATTTGAGACTATATGAAATATATGGACACTCTCCTCAGCAAAAAAACAAGGCACGAAATATATGAAATATTAAATGCAATATTATAGACCTCCTAAAGCTTATTTTTGCTCCTGCCACAAGTTTCTGCACTAAATTGATAATTTAGTTAATGTTCTGTATTTTAATTTTCTTTCTTTAATATCTAGCACAGTGTCCTGCACTTTGTATGCTCCAAACACAAAAAGACTTGTTTAATAAATAGGAAAAGAAATGGATGAGTGTTGCCAGCCAGACTGTATGTCAGGTGCAGAAATTTCTTTCTTTCTTTCTTTCTTCCTTCTTTCCTTCCTCCTTTCCTTTCCTTTCCTTTTTTTCCTTTTCCTTTTCCCTTTCCTTTCCTTTCCTATCCTTTATTTTTTGAGACAAAGTCTTACTCTGTTGCCCAGGCTGGAGTACGGTGGTGTGACCTTGGCTCTCTGCAACCTCTACCTCATGGGTTCGAGCGACTCTTGTGTCTCAGCCTCCCAAGTAGCTAGGATTACAGACATGTGCCACCACACCCCACTAATTTTTGTATTTTTAGTAGAGAGGAGGTTTCACCATGTTGACCAGACTGGTCTCAAACTTCTGACCTCAGGTGATCCACCCGCCTTGGCCTCCCAAAGTACTGGGATTACAGCCATAAGCCACTATGCCTGGCCAAAATTCCCCACTTTCAAAAATTGTTGGTAAATATATTTGAGCAAACATTGGGACTCTTCCCTGGCAATCCTAAAATACCAGACTCTCCAATGGCTATGCCCTAATAAGACAAGAGTTCCTTTTCCCAAGACCTTTAAACTGCACAGATTCTCATTTTCTCTTCTGAAAGCATCTCCTTTTGTCTTTGGGATTCTCCTGTCAGTAATTAGAGAGAACAGCATTAGTCTCTCCATACCCTTAAATGATGTCAGTGTTTAATGAATTTTTTTCTTTTCTAAAAATTATAATACAATATGAATACATTTTGGTAGCATTCATTTATAATCCAAGACACTTTGCCACCCCTCCTCCTGTTTTCTATTTTTCATTCTGTACAGAGCTATACGAATCATTATAGAGGATACTAAAATAATGAAAATCATAAACCCTGTAGTGAGAATCTGTCAATCTAATAAAGTTATGAGCAAAGATGAATATGAGGAATAGTAAATAACTTAGAGATAAAGAAACTATAGTACATCATAAGATTGACACAACTCAACATGGAATTGTGATTATTTTTGATGTCTCCAGTTTTGACAGTCAAAGGAGACACTATCAATAGTTATTACAAAAGCAACACGCATTAACTAATATTATCTTGGACAAATTGAGACATAGAGCCACCCTACTCTTAGGTTTTTTACTTTTGCTTTTACTTTTTATTATGGGCATTTTCATACTGCCTGTAAAGACTGAGGTAACTATTTAAGTACCCATCTTCTAACTTTAACTATTTTCACCACTTGGCCAATGTTGCCTTATCTATGACCCCAACTCCCCCACCCTATTTACTAAAAGCAAATCCAAAGCATTTTCTTGATTCATCAGTCAGTTTTTCACCACTCCATTCTTTTTCTCCCCTGATTTCCTTTCTTATCCCCATTCCAACCTATCTTTTTATTTTTACTTCCAGCACTGCAGTTCTGATCTAACTTTGCCAGGACACAGATCCATAGGGTCAGCCCTGCATCCTGAGCAGCTCAGAGGGAGGAGCCAGACCAGCGGTGCCTCACACCTTGTCCTCTTCTGCTCTGGACAGATGGCTCCATAATGACAGCTTCGTAATGTTAGTAGATGGGACCCTGCTGCACATCAGGGTCACTCTTCTGCTGCTCTTGCTTGGGGTGTGTTTGTCCATTTCTGGCTATTTTCAGGCTGGGCCCTCTCAGCATCTCACTTCCCCAGAAGTGGTGACCCCCTTGAAGTTGATCAGCAGGGGCAGAGGTGCAAAGGCTCCTGGATGGTTGTCCTACAGCCTGCGGTTTGGGGGCCAGAGACATGTTGTTCATATGAGGGTCAAGAAGCTCTTGGTTTCTAGACACCTTCCAGTGTTCACCTACACAGAGCAGCATGACCTCCTGGAGGATCAGCCCTTCATCCCAGATGACTGTTACTATCATGGTTTTGTGGAGGGGGCCCCTGAATCGTTGGTTGTTTTCAGTGCTTGTTTTGGGGGCTTGTGAGGAGTGTTACAAATAAATGGTCTCACTTATGAAATTGAACCCGTCAGGCACTCTGCCACATTTGAACACCTGATTTATAAGATAAACAGTAATGAGACACAATTCCCAGCTATGAGATGTGGCTTAACAGAGAAGGAAGTAGCACGCCAACAGTTGGAATCTGAAGAGGCTGAGAACTCAGCTCTGGAACCAAATTCTGCTGGTGACTGGTGGACCCATGCGTGGTTTCTGGAGCTGGTTGTTGTGGTGAACCATGATTTCTTCATTTACTCTCAAAGCAACATCTCAAAGGTGCAAGAGGATGTATTTCTTGTTGTCAACATAGTGGATTCCATGTATAAGCAATTAGGTACTTACATACTTTTGATTGGAATTAAAATTTGGAATCAAGGAAATGTTTTCCCAATGGCAAGCATAGAACAGGTCCTGAACGATTTTGCCCAATGGAAACACGTCAGTCTTTCCCAGCTACAGCATGATGCTGCACATATGTTCATAAAAAATTCACTTATAAGTATACTTGGTCTAGCCTACGTTGCAGGAATATGTCGTCCACCTATTGATTGTGGAGTTGATAATTTTCAAGGCGATACATGGTCTCTTTTTGCCAACACTGTGGCCCATGAGTTAGGTCATACTTTGGGTATGCAGCATGATGAAGAATTCTGTTTTTGTGGGGAAAGAGGCTGCATCATGAGTACTTTCAGAGTGCCAGCAGAGAAATTCACCAATTGCAGTTATGCTGATTTTATGAAGACCGCTTTGAACCAGGGATCATGTCTGCATGATCCTCCCAGATTGGGGGAAATCTTTATGCTAAAGCGTTGCGGGAATGGTGTGGTTGAAAGAGAAGAGCAGTGTGACTGTGGATCTGTACAGCAATGTGAACAAGATGCCTGCTGTCTGTTGAACTGCACTCTGAGGCCTGGGGCTGCCTGTGCTTTTGGGCTTTGTTGCAAAGACTGCAAGTTCATGCCATCAGGGGAACTCTGTAGACAAAAGGTCAATGAATGTGACCTTCCAGAATGGTGCAATGGATCATCCCATCAGTGTCCAGAGGATAGATATGTGCAGGACGGAGTCCCCTGTAGTGACAGTGCCTACTGCTATCAAAAGAGATGTAATAACCATGACCAGCATTGCAGGGAGATTTTTGGTAAAGATGCAAAAAGTGCATCTGAGAATTGCTATAAAGAAATCAACTCTCAGGGCAACCGTTTTGGTCACTGTGGTATAAATGGCACAACATACCTAAAATGTCATATCTCTGATGTCTTTTGTGGGAGAGTTCAATGTGAGAACGTGAGAGACATTCCTCTTCTCCAAGATCATTTTATTCTGCAGCATGCTCATATCAATGGTGTCACCTGCTGGGGTGTTGACTATCATTTAAGGATGAACACACCTGACATTGGTGAAGTGAAAGATGGTACAGTGTGTGGCCCAGGGAAGATCTGCATCCACAAGAAGTGTGTCAGTCTATCTGTCTTGTCACACGTCTGCCTTCCTGAGACGTGCAATATGAAGGGGATCTGCAATAACAAACATCACTGCCACTGTGGCTATGGGTGGTCCCCGCCCTACTGCCTGCACAGAGGCTATGGGGGTAGTGTCGACAGTGGCCCAGCATCTGCAAAGAGAAGAGTTTTCTTGACAGTGATTATGATTCCTTCTTTGTCTGTTTTTATTTTCCTGTTTACTGTTGGGCTTCTTATGTATCTACGACAACGTTCTGGTCCCAAGGAGACTAAGGCTGATTCATCAGGTTAAGATAATGTCTCTAATTTAATATTCCATGCATTATTACACTTCAGTCTCTTGGCAGTAGAAATGTTAGTACATCCCTGAAAGTGAGCACATTTCTGACCATTCCCAGAAAGCTGCAAAGATCTTCCCTTACGTCAGTACCACAAACATTGTCATTACGTGCAGGTGATTCTTTACATGTTTCTATCTATTGTTCATTGTTTTAAGCAGCAAATAAAGGTACATCCTTGTTATGTTTAGTCCTTGTTCTGTTTAGTCCTTGTTATGTTTCTTGTGTGTAGAGATGACTTATGGAAAAGACATGAGATATGTCTGCGTCAGAGTGTCCAGGGGTGAGGCTTACCTTACTACTGACATTTATCAGTGTGGGAAAATTAAATTTTCTGACACTCTGCTTCAAAATATGAAAAGGAATAGGGATGATAATAATATTTGTCCTACCCAACTTTTTGGGTTTATTTGGTAACCAAAAGACAGAAATAAGTGAATTTTTGTTATAAACTATTGTCTGATAAAAGCTTCTGACCTTGCTCCCTGTATGCTTCCTAACTTTTTGTCTTAATTTGGCAGTTTGGATTTTTTTTGGAGTATTTGCTTCACATACCAAAGTATAAACTCCATGAGGGCGAGATTGTTTTTATCTGTTTTGCTCACCGTTGTATCCTCAATATCTGCAACAGTGTGCGGTGCTTCCTACCCAATGAATACTTAAGTAATGAATTTGAAGGGAGTATTAAATACATAAAATTAATCACAAAAAGTAAAAATAATATTTTGCTGCCTTTGGGATGTCATTCTACTCCTCTTTTTTAAACTACTGGAGTTCTTGCTCTACATTAAACTTTGAATACTTGAAATATGTTTATTTAAAATGCTGCTGTTTGAACCCGACATACTTTACTGTTTTTTTTTTTCCCCAGTGTATCTTCTCCTCAGTCTCTTCTCAATGTTTTTGGAAACCTTCTCTCTTGAAAACACAGAGTGAATCAGATAACCTTTGTATTGATCAGTTAACATCTGAATAGCACTCTGTAGATTGAGTCAAACAACCTTTTGCATATCATGTTTCATTATGGTTTGTCATTTGCATTTCTACCTATTTTTAGAATATATTTGGCTGTGTCATTCTCTGTGTATTTGTTCGTGCCATCCTCATTCCACAAATGCTGTTTACCATCCTCCTCCTACTCCCTTACCCTGGAAAACTCCTATTTTCTCTCCATAGAGGTTAAATGTTATATGTTCGCAGAAGCATCCCTTACAAAATGGTAAGAGTTCCACTTGTGTGCCCCTGTCACTTTGTGGTCCCTCCTTTATGGTTTGATGCCCTCTAGGAATAGAGGTGGAGAGGATCCAAAAATGTGCTAGCAAAAAAAAGTAAAGGACATCTGGTGGAGCCATACAAGGAGATAGGAGTGAATCAAAAATAATCTGGTTAAATCAGGGAAAGCTCCACATTTCTTAAGTCTGCACATCTATATGGAGATAAAAGATAGCTGCTCCAGTTTATTCTTTTTTGAAATGGTTTATTGTAAAAAAAAAAAACATTGAAGTTGATTATAGTAAAATTTATCAACCTAATGTTCTCTTATATTTGCTGAGTTTTGTATTTCTGCTTGAGATTACTTTGAAATAATCCATTTTTTTCTGGAATTACTTTGGTTTCCGCTTTTATGCTTAATTGTGGAATTTATTTTGCTATAAGGAATGAGATAGATATCTAATTGTATACCTTTCCAAATGGGTAGTGAGTTGTCCTGATACACATTATACAATAAATCCTTGATCACTGCTTTGATGGTAAATTGGGATCCTATATTGCATTTTAAAGTTAATTTGTTAGAGTCACCTTAATTTACTTGTAAATTTTTACAAGAAGCAGTGCATTTTGCAATATTCTTATTTTTGGAATTTTTGGAAAAGCTGTATACTTTATATTCATTGAGTTACTTAGAGCTAAATCATCAATTATATCAGGATTGATGGATATAATTAACCTTTTTATAACAAGCATAGAGTTTTACCTCCTGTTATAACTTAGATTACCCAAAAATCAGATCCAGAGACAGGATTTAGGTCAAGTTAGTTTTTGGGGGAAGCACAAAACAGGATAGACTAATGAACGAGTTTTCTCTTTGTACTACTGGAGTCATTCCTGTGGGCTCTCTGAGAAGTCATGTGAAACACAGCTTGGAATAATACTCCACGGTTCAGGAGAAAGCTGTAAGGAAAAGAATACCTGAGATACAAACACTTGAAGTGGT